TTGAGATCCTTGATATTTGAGATTACAACTGAAAATTGCGCGCTCATGGTTTCAATACAAAAAAATGAACTCCTACATAGTCCGAAAAATAGAAACACTTGATTGACTAAACTCATTCGTAAAAGACATTATACTTTGAGTGGTTGAAGAATGTTGTAGACTGCATGAATTTGTTTAAAAGAAATGGCGCCTTTTTCGAAACCGCTTGAACAACCTAACCGGTGAGCATTAAACCGACTAAGACAACCGACTAGTTCAAACCAGAGGTCAGTAAGGTTACCAAGTACCAATCAAATCCTGAGAACTCGGTACACTATGGCAACTGTCAAAGGTTTTTATATAATGTCAACAAAGAGTGTTAAAATACACTGTCCAGAAAAATAGATCCCAGCAAAGCGCATGTACAAAGTGAAAATTACCAGCCAGCAGTGGACTTAAAGTCTAAAATCTCCCAGCCAGGAACATGAAAATTCAATTTGCCAGCCAGTCAAAAAAAAGGATGTGGAGCGGATATTTTGTGGAACGGTTTCGTTGGGTACTCTTGTCCAATCAAATTTCGAAGTTTGAATTCAAATTTGATTTCAATAAGGTAGTGTTGAATCGACCAAGAATCGAATAATGAATTGAATAATAGTGTTTTGAGGGGGCACACTTCATGTCTTTTGACTGCAATTCAGAGGGAAAACAATGGGTTACGAACGTCCAAATTTTCTACTCACAAATACAAGAGGACGTCCCTTGTATATACAATGGGATGATATTAGGAAACACTCTCCTGCAAAATAAAGTTAAAATCACTAATGTAATTCTCCATGCCAGGAACTATAAATCATATCAAGAAATGATAATTGTGTCAATGACATCTAGTAGTTAAACAAATGATCAATTTTAATTGATCATTTGTATTTAAAATCTCTCAAAGATAATATCCTGACTAAGCTAAAGCCTGATCACATGGCTCGGAGTAGGCCTGATTGATCTGAAATGACAACTTTTTGACACAGTAGAAAAATCAATATTTCGATACTAAGAAAATATGATTGGAAGCATAGTCCAATGTCAATAGACTTCATTGTTTGTTGTATTTTCATTTCACAGGGTGGTAACATGGTAACGCGTTAGCCGATWAGGTCCATCAAGAAATGAAAGTCATAATAGSAAATGGTGTGGAGAAGTAGTGCAAAGTTATTTTCGTGAAGTGAAACCCTAAAAGACTGCCTTGAGATTTTTAAAAGATTTGTAAATGTATCTTCATATGATCTTTAAAAATATCAGTTGATGAAACTGCACTTCCCGGGGGGAGGGGGTACTCCCCTATATTCGCTATACGGGGACGTGCCGCCAACCAGGGTATCGTTTTCAGCGGTTTTACTCTGGAACTGGGTATCGTTTTTAGTGATTTTACTCTGGAACAGGGTATAGTTTTCAGCGATTTCACTCTGGAACAGGATCAGGGTTTTGACGTCCCAGCGGCACACCCCCACCCAAATTTGGGGGAGTCCCCGGGCTGTACTTACAATTGTTTCAGTGAAATCCAAGTCAACAAAACGAACACAAATCCCACCAGGTTTATTGTCAGTGATGTATTGTCAATTATACGTTGTGCAACATCTTCAGCAGGTGTAAAATAGGTCCACGCACATGGTATATCACAATGACCAGTAAGTGGATTCTTTTTTAATGGCGAATTGCATGGAAAGTACGGAGGCATCATGGAGTGGTTGCTATAATGAGAATCATTAGAAAAGGCATTGATTTATAATACCCAGTATGGATATTACTATCTAGAATTTACATTTATGTATAGTTTAAAACGTAGTTAGTGGAGGTAGACTAGTCCCCTCTACTAACTATGTTTAAAACTCCTGGACAATATATAACACATGACTGCACATACAGCAYTGTATTCCCAAAAATATGCTGTTACATACAGAACGACCATAGTCCATATCACAAGCCCGCCATTTTGAATCGTTTTGCAATGTATCATGGGATATATATCTCCCTTTCTTCATCAAAACAAATGACTAAAATCGTAAAAACACTAGTTTCGATTTTTCCACAGACAACATATGTTTGTTTTCATTTTTGCTTGATCCGCCTAGTAAATGGAAATTTTTCGATTAACTGTACATTTTTTGGAGGTTTTTCTTGCTGTATTTCCTTGCTTGTCGATATTTGTTTTTTTCGCTTCTGAGATTGACTACAATATCAATATTTCCCAATGTTTTTCATAAACTTAGTCTACSTTACAGACAACTRRAKCACTGACATYGYTGYTCMCTTGTTTACTCATTTATCAATCCCAAAATGCATTGCGTCACAAGGCTCTCCGCGGGTTGCGATATGGACTATTGCCAACTGATCAATGGCAAGGGAAAGACTAAAAGGCTCCATACTTGCCAATACTTTGACAAATTTATGCTAGACATTGTATTTATTCTATTGTATTGCGTCGTTCTTAARAGTCTTGTATTGTTAATCTATTGTTATGTGGATATAATACAATAAAATACTGTGCATAAATTTGTMAGAGTATTGGACAACCCTCTCTACTWCGCAACACGTGATGCAGTTTAGAAATAAAGGGAAGGTTGCTAACCGGACGAAAAAACTGCTGTGAAGGTAGTGATACCGCAGGTTCTGCACCTCTACCGAATAATCAGTCATCCTACCGACAACATCATTCGACTGAGACTGCCTTGATTAAGGTACAGAATGACATTCTCCTCAGCATGGAAARGCAAGAAGTTACTTTGCTCGTCTTGCTCGATCTTAGTGCGGCTTTTGATACGATAGATCACTCTATCTTGGCAGACCTTCTAGAGCGTGACTTTGTCATCAGTGATCTTGCCCTCTCCTGGATAACATCATTTATGCGTGGGAGGGTTCAACGTGTAACCATCAAGCAGGAGCAATCTCGGGACTTCTCCCTTTCTAGTGGAGTTCCACAAGGAAGCTGTTTAGGCCCTTTGTTATTCATCATGTACGCTTCTCGGTTGTTTCACGTGGTGGAAAAGCAMCTGCCCTATGTACAAGGGTACGCTGAYGACACACAACTTTATCTTTCGTTTCGCTCTACGTCCACCCTTTCACAAGATCAAGCGATCCGAGCTATGGAGGATTGCATCGCTGATGTTCGAGCTTGGATGGGCCATAATATGTTAATGCTTAACGATAGCAAGACGGAATTTTKGATTATCGATTCCCGTCAGCAACTCGCAAAGATTAGTATGGGCTCTGTTCAAGTCGGCGATTCTGAGATTGTGTCA